GTGGTGGCAGATGGGACCGAGCACTTTGGCTACGGGAGGTGTCCTGCTCCGTTAACTTCATGGGAGCTATGGTGGGAATCCGGCCCCCGGGCTCAGGGGCAGAGGGAAGGGGACGTTGGGCAACGATTTGGCTCATCCTCTGTTTTGCCGGTTGGGTGGAGGAAACCAGGGACAGGGGGAGAAGAAAGAGCTGGGAGGGAACATCTTGCCTGATGCTGGGGAAATGCCACGGGTTTTGTGCTTCCATCCAGAGACGATGCGGTGGGGATATTCCTCTGTCCCTCTGCGCGGGCAGGGGAAGGAGAAAGACAGCGGAGGGGATGATGAAGACAGGACCGCTGCAGGAGAGACAAGAGCATGGCTGATCCTGACCACAGGGGCTGATGCTTCTCAGAGTCACCAAGGACTGAGCTGCTTCGGTTCAGTCCATGCCTCCGTTTTCCCCTTGGAAAAATGGTTAACGAAGGGCCTGAGCTAATTGTCCAGAAAGAGTCTCCAGGTCACCAGCCAAGCTCATGGAGAAGGACTATAGATAAAGGATCACAACCCACAAGAGAAACATCATTGTAGGGGACCTCCTGCACCCAGGGATGCTAAGAGAAGCCAAGGACGTGCCAAATGGACCAGGTACTTTCTGCCTTCGCCTCTCGCGAAAAGGAGAATCAAGGTGGAAAGGAAAGCCACTGATAGGAAAACGGAGGAGAAAAGGGCTTGTGGGCAAGCACCCACAAACTTGGCCTTCAAACTGGCTTGAAATACCATCACGCGCGATCTAAGCCCAGCAGGACCAGCGATGAGGAGCTCCCTCAGCTTCTGGAGGCCATAACAACGTGCTGAGAGGGAGAGAGGGTGCAAGCAGGCTGCTGCTCCCATGTCTCCACGAGGAAAGGAGGAAGATGCCACGTAATACTGGTACCCTTGACAGAAGTGCTCAGCTATGTGCAGAATTCAGGGGAACAACCCTCAGTCCCAGTGGGAGAGACTCTGAACCCTTCCTAGACAGCATGGGGAGAAACCACATAAGGTCACATTAATCTGGTCCCCAGATAACACAGATGGGCACAATAGAGGTCCCAGGGCTCTAACGAGGGCTCACCAGCCTGGATCAAGAGCTAGCGGGGACACTAGGACCTGGCATTGACTCCCAATAACTGCTGCTCAGCAGATGCCTGCTGTCCCCAAGAGCTGGTTGCCCCTATCTGAAGGCTGGTAAGCCCCACGGAGATGCAACGGGAGGCAATGCAGACCCCCTGGCTCGAAGCTAGGAGAAATGAGGATGCGCGTCCAGAGATAATCACTGCCCAGCTCACCTCAGCTGGTGGGCGCAAGGGAAGTAAGTCAGGGGGTGGTTTCCTGAGAGCTAAACCAGGACTGTGGTAGGACTGGATGCCCCACAGCTTCTCTGCTTGTCCCTCTGGGACATCTAAAGAGAGTGGCAAGAGGAGACGATCACCATGCCAGGGATTTTGGTTTTTTTTCTTGCTGGGAGTAATTCCAGGAGAGCACTCCCAACTCCCATCACGCTAACCCTACCCAGACCCCACACAACGCTCACACATCCAGATCACGCTCGCTTCAGAGGTCCTTCTGCCACTGAGCACGATAACTGCCTAACCAGGGAGCACGCTGACCACATCGTCCCATGGATGTGACATCTCCGTGTGTCAGAACAACCCACGGACGCTGTCCCCGTGCTGGTGGTAACACAACAGATACCAAGGCTCCACCATCCGCACTCTCACATATTGCGATACCTCAGCCAGCCCCACGCTGCTCCCTGCCAACCCTGGTCAACATTTGGGGGTTACCTGGGTGTGTCCACAGCTATAAAAACCTACAGGAGATACAACAACAACAACGGTGACAACAACAGCACCCTTTTGTGCTATGAACATCGATGGTTAATTGTGCTCGTTGGAATAAGGCCATGACTCCTCCCAGCTAAAGGACAACAGACTGGGAGGGGAGAGCGTTGGGTCACAGGAGGAAGCGTGGCTGGCTTTCCACCTGACGCCAGGTCCTTTTTCCAACCATCAGCTGCTTCGAAAAGAGAGATTCGGATTGGAGCTGCATGAGAACAACTCTCGGACAGATATCGCAGCGTCTCCTGTTCCTCCTCCCTTCCCCGAAGGCAAGCCCGGGGGATCCTGCCTTTCAGCCGAGGGTTGTCGGAGGAGTCCTGCCCCTCCCGCAATCCCTTCTTCCCAGTGTCATCTCAGAAATGGCTGCTTTTGGTTACGATTTTAAGAGGGGTTTCTTCTTCATCTTCCTTATTAATTAATTTTCCCTGTTGCCTGGACAGCCAGGATCCACTCCCCAGTGACCTCCTCTCCCGGTGGGGGTGGTCGTCAGGCAACCATCACAGTTCGGATTCAGGGGTGCTGGCCAGTAGGTACCCACTCCCGTATCGTCCGTTGGGGGCATTGCTCATTTCCATGGGGGAGTTGCTCCCGGGACCCAGGTAGGAACGGTGCGTGGGCATGGGGGACGGGGTCTCGCTGGGCACTTTGCTCAGGATGAAGCGGGTCTCATCGTTGTCTTCCAAATTGGAGATGTCCTTCATCATCCGGCCCTTCTTGTAGGTGACAGAGAGGGTGTTGGAGCCATCCGACACGAGGTGGAACTGCCGGAGGATGAAAACCAGAGGCAGAGGGAGGGATGCGAGTATGATCAGAGAGATGAGGATAGCCATGGCCCAGCTTGGGTAGAAAAGGAACTTTTCTGCAGCCTGGAAGAGACAGATATCAGTGTCAAGGGGCTGTTACAGCGAGGGTGATGCACACCAGGTATAACGTCTCCTGAGTGCTAGGCAATTCCTTTTTTATCCCTGCTGCCTCCTGCCAGACTTCATCCTCAGGAGCACCACCTGAAGCTATCAGAAGGTGGGTTCAAATCAAGGAAGAGGACATGGTCCTGCACACAGCATGTAGCTGTGGAAGCAAACCAACATCCAGGCTCAAACTTCAGCCCATGGTCAGAGGTGGATGGAGACTTCTGGGCAGCACGGACAGACCTGACTGCCTGCAGAGAACGAGCGGCCACACGCAGGACATCTCCCAGCAGGAGAGGGGAGGAGAAACAAGCGGAGCTGGGAAGAGCAGGGTGGTCTGCAGCTCTCAGCTGCCCTCTGCTCAGCCTGGACCCGGGGTGGAGGCGGCTGCGGGGACGGGAGCTGTGCTCACCTCCTCTCTGATCCACGCACTGTAGCCTGGGGGGCTGACTCCCAGCTGGATGATGCTGGCAGTCATGAGCACGGCCATGCAGATGGGAGAGACGTACTTCCAGGTGTAGTAGTAGAACTGATAGGGCCGGAAACCCAGCATTTCCGTCAGCTCCTGCATGAACCTGCCAAGAAGAAGAGATTGAACCCTGCCGTTCCCCACCCCCAAGTACAAAACTCCCTCCCAGGAGCCCCCATTGTGAACTACACTCAAGGCAGGGCTTGAAGCAGAGCCCAGCTGACCCAGACAAGCATCTATGTGTCCCTGAAGCCTGTGGGCCTGGTTGGGAACCTCCTATGGAAAAGGCCATTTGAGCATTAGCCAGAACCTCCCTTGCTCTGGCCAACTCAGGAACAAGAAGAACAGACACTGGGGGGATTAAGGTCTCCTTCCAGAAGGACCTGGAAACCTCAGACAAAAGGGTAATCACAAGCGCCAGAGCACCATAACCAACACTAGATACCCACTAGAAGGACCAGCTCCTAGGGCTGGTTACACCTAGGGCAGAGAAGAGGATCAAGGTGAACTGAGTTCCTGCCTCTATAAGGTAGCTGGCCCTGGGGCCTTTGCTCCACCAGAGCTGGCCTCTTGGGGAAAAAGTCGTATGGGAAAGAGCTGGAAGGAGGGGGCTTTTTTAGCCAGGAGTTGCAGCAGTTATTCTTTGTGTTGTACAAACACCTTACTTCTTGGTGCCATAAATCCAGGCCACAGCGATGTTCTCCAGGATGACCACGACTGTGAGCGGCAGCGTGGCTGAATAATCATCAAACATGGTGACAAAGTAGTTCCCAGAGCGCTGCACAAAGATCAGTCCCACCAGAAAGGCGAAGATGCAGGAACCAACTGTGGGGAGCAAACAGGCATGGTTAGCAGAGTACCCCAAGGGGAACGAAGACCTCCGTCACGCAGCCTGCTCCCTGCATTAGCAGGACCCAGTACACATCCACCACGTCCACACTCTTCTGGAGTGACTCTCCAGGGCCACGGGGACCCTCCACCCCTTCCCCAGCAGGATGCAGGAGAAAAGACCTCACCTGTGAACACTTCCTTCCGCACCTTGAAGGTGTCAATGATGGGTGTAGTGATGCCTGACATGGTCCCAATCATGCTCCCCAGCCCCAGGTTTATCAGCATCAGGAAGAACATGACAGACCAAAACGGTGAGGCTGGGAAGTGGGTCATGGCTTCTGTGAAGGCAATGAAGGCAAGGCCAGTTCCTTGCACCGACTGTTCAGGGAGAGACAGGACCAAAAGATGAGGAGAAACACATCAGAGATACAACCTACAAGCCCGTGCATACCTCAGGTCTCTCCTGTCACCCTGAACCAGTCTTGGAGGAAAAAAAAATCCAGTCTGGTACCCCAGCCTGGAAGCGGTGATGACCCTGCTAGACTTGCTACGGGCAGACTTTTTCCCCACCCCAGGAAGGACCACTGTGTGCTGGGGAAGACCACAGGGACAGGGAATCCTCACCCTTGCTGCAAGGTCTCTAAAACATAGTTTTTCCAGATCCGTGTGCCAGGAGTGACACAAGTAGAGCAGCTCCTACCAGGGAGACGCAATAGGGTAGGTGACCTCCTGGTCCTACTAGGGGTGCCACCAGGTACCTTGTTGAGTTCATCCTCCAACAGGCAGGCATCCAAGCCCAGTTCTTTGAAGTGTCCCTCTTTCACTGTCATGATCACCCTGTACATCTCATTGTAGTCCTTGGCAGTGAGATGGGAGAAGTTCACGTGGGGTGGGATGAGGTCGTGGCTCAGCACATTGGTGTTCAGGTAGCCCAAGATCTTCTCAGCATTCCTAAGGGAGAGCAGAGCCTGGTCACTCAGAGATGACCCCTTCCTCCAAGGGTGGAGGATGAGGCCTGACCATGGAAGCCCTTTGCAACAGCCAGGATGAACCTCCCTGGGTCACGTTACCTGGGTCCAGTCAGAGGACCTCTTTGCAACTTCCCGAGGTGTAAGTAAACATTGCAGTAGGCCACATGACAGAGGACACAGACGGGGAACCACCAGGGAATAAGCTCTCTGTGCCTCCTTCTCAGCCACTTGCTGCTGTGGCTTCTCTCCTGCTCTGGGACTCCACACTGCATGGTCTGGATTTTTTTGGATTCAGCTCACTCTCTAAAGATCACACTAGGTGCACCAATTCACCTTCCTCCAGCTGCTTCAGGGGTACAACACAGCAGCTCCCTTAACCTTGCAGACAAGTGGACCCTATGATGAATTGAAACTGGGGGAAACCCAGGAGATGTGACCGGACGTGTTGGAATTACCCTCAATTTGCAGGCTAAGAGACCATCTTAGAGCTGGATTTTAGGTTGGAGGAGCTGAATACCCAACTGCCTCAGCTACAATGGGACATCTCTGGAGATCCTGGTCTTGACCATCAGGAACTTGGATCCACCAAAACGCAGTATCATCCAGCTCCAGGGCACTTATTCTCTTGCCTCTAGATCCACCACAATCAGCAGCAGCAAAGACCTGCCCACCCCCCAGAGAGAAAAAGCAGTTCTTACTCCACCACACATTTCTCATTCATGATGTTGGCCTTGAAGCCCAGCACAGCAAACACAACCAGGGTAGCCAGGACGGACGTGAAGAAGTTAATGAAGGAGACGAGCGTGGCATCAAAGTGGCAGTTGTTGTCCTGCTTGTTGTAGCTAGAGAAGGCGATGACTCCTCCAAAGCCCAGGCCCAAGGCGAAGAAAACCTGTGTAGCTGCCTCCCGCCACACCTGAGGGTCTAGCATCTTGTCCAGCTTGGAGGGGAGACAGAAGAAGTTAGGTGGCTTGGTGGCCCCACAAGTCATCCCACTGGAGCTAGAGCTAAATTAAAAGGCTGCTGTGGCCGCAGCCTGGGCTGGTTTTGGAGCAGCCATGGGCACGCTTTGATCTACCACGGTCAGGTAATGCATCACCCAGCGCTCGTAGGTCCTTCTTCTCTTTCCCACAGAGGGGAAAACCAAGGCATGGAGAAGCGCAGGGGAAGGTTTGGCTTGGCCATGGCTCTGAGTGCTCTATCTACCCCAGAGCCCAAGCTGGGTGCCTGATCTCCCACTCCAAAGCCCTACAGCTTCCCAGTGGACCACCCAGCTTCCCTGGGGAGATGGCGTCCCCGTCCCCTCACCCAACGGAGCCATGTGCTGCCCGGCCATGGAGCTCCATCCTCCCCCAGCCATCTCCTGCCTCCGGAGCGCCTGGAGCACTTGAAATCCAACGTCTCGGCTGGACGGACCCCCCCGCCCCCCCAACCACATCCCCCGCCCTCCTGCGAGCCAGAGCCGCAGGCTGGAGGCCTCCGAGCATCATTCATCAGGAGATTATAATTAATATCTTCTAACAGCCTTGCAGGCTGAGATGATTCATCTACATCTCTGCTTAATTAATTAAGTAGCTGGTTAATTAACGGATGCATACCACCAGCGGAGGTTTCACTGCCAGCCAGAGCATTCTCATGAAGTCTTTAAATACGTTGCCTCGGGCACCCCCACATCCCCACTCTGGTGCCTGGGCACCTAAAGGCGACGGGAGCGATGCTAAGGCTCAAAGAAGCTGGTGAGATTGCGAGGCTCTTGGCTGTCCTGGCCGTACCCTGATGACATATCAGCATCTCTGAGCTAGTTTGGGGTTGGTACTCTGGTTCTCGGGGTGCGGAGCGTAAGGGAAAACAGTGTGTGACCAGCCAGGAGGAGAACTTGCTCCGAGTCTGCTGGGCTTGGAGGCTCTCACCTTGGGCGTGAACATGTGCATGATCCCATCCACCGCCCCGCGCAGCAGAAGTCCCCGCACCAAGAAGCAAACCAGCACCACGTAGGGGAAGAGCGAGCTGAAGTACATCACCTAAGGGCAAGAGGGATGCGACACGGGCACAACCTCATTTACCACGCGCTGAGCTCAGCCACCTCCCCATCCAAGCCCAGGACAGCACGACAGGGGTGAGAAAGGTGGGGTGCCCTCCCCAGAACGACGTCTGCTCCTCAGGCAGTGCAGGGTTAAGCTGTGGGACTTCTTGGTGCAGGACGTTAGAAGTGCTGAAGCTCAGGTGGATTTGCAAAGTGCTTGGACACACTTAGGAGAGGAGAATCTGCTGAAGGTGAAGATGCTGATGTTGTCTCAGGAAATCCCCAAAACACAAACTGCTGGTGCTCGGGAAGCCCGAGGGAAGGACAGCTCTGCAGCCCCCATCCCAGTCCCCAGCGTCTGCCCAGCGCTGCAGGCAGCCCCGACCAGCAGATGTGGATGGGGCTTCACCCCGGACAGGCAAGACCTGCTGCCATGACCCTGCTCCTGCAGCTCACTCCCACCGCTCTGCGCTCAGGGCCATGGGGCAGGGGTCTCATTGCTCTCTGCTACCTACCTGCTAATGCACCAGATGTTTTGCAGAGCACATCTGGAGACAGGGATGTTCAAGCGTCCTGGGAGACCATACCCTTCTGCTTCCAACCCCACTGCTTACACAGCCTTGCTTGAAATGTCAACGACCTCTACAAGCTAACAGCATCTCTCTCCCAGAGCTTTCTGCTCCTCCCTGTCCTGCTTCTCCTGCACAGAGTCCCAGTGCTCGCCCTGTGAAGGAGGGCTCAGCTCTCCCCCTGACACCCCACGAGCATCCCTGGAGATGATGGGCATCAGGGACTTGGGCAGTTGACGGCTGGGCAGGTGATTTGGCTAGCCCAACATGGCTCAGCCCTGGGCCACGGCTGCAGGTGTCAGTTGGACTAAACCTCCCTCTTTTGATCTTATTCTGGATCCCTTCAGAGATGGCCCCAACTATGGACTCGGCGTGAGCATCCAGGGGAAACATCATCCTCCAGCCACCCCAGATCAGGGCAGGAGAGTGTGGTCCAGGCTCTGCCCCAAGGACAGACCCAGGCTCTGGTGGCCACCGATACCCACCTTCCCCGAGGACTGGATGCCTTTGATCATGGCCAAGCCAACAAGGCTCCAGGCCACCAGCAGACACACGGTCATCTTCCAGTTGAGCCCCCCACTCTCCGAGATGGAGTTGGAGATGTCCAGGGTCTCCCGGTACCAGAAGTAGGTGGTGGCTGAGCTCCTCTCGCATTCAGTCTCCACAACTGCAACCGAGCAGAGGCAGGAGAGCATGAGGGGGCTGGGGGAAAGTTACCCACCATCTCTAAGGGGATGAACACCAATTAATGTCAAAGACCTGCCAGAGCCAGCCAGGGAAGGCAGGCACCTCTGGAAACTCAGGGACAGGAATTAATGTGGCCCATTTTTAGCAGAAAAAAGAAGAAATAGGACATAAAGCCATTGTCAGGTAAAAATAAGATGTCACATAGAGGGAGAGATATTTGCATTTGCTACGAAACGTCCCAGAGTGTCTCAAGGAGATGCTCACAGGTTATTAAACACCATTAGCTCCATTGGCATTATCAGTCGGGCACTGATGGAGCAGCCAGGTGAGCTGGGTCACCTTCATGGTCCGGGGTCAGATCCTGGCCACGAGCACTGAGGCAGCCTGGAGACCCAAGCTCTGGATCCCCAAACTGGCATCAAATCCCATCGGTGGGGATGGACCCCGAGAAGAGAACATGGGAGAGACTCATCCAACCCAAGGGAAACATCTCCATATGACCAAGGCAGCCGGACGGGAGAGGACCCAGTGCCCCAGGAGATGCCTCAAGCTCCACTGCCCTGTGATAGCTACAGATGCTGGGGGTCCCAGTGTCCCACAGCCCCCCTTCCCCAGGAACTGCTCCCTCCCAGCTGAGCCTCCCCCTGCACCAGTGGCCATCCCTTACCGGCCACCGAGCCGCTCT